ACAGCCCTTTCTACTGTATCTACAAAACCTAATATTACAACTCCGGCTACTACTCCAGCTACAACTACCATTCCTACTAATACGACCGAAATTACTATAAGTAATAATACTACCACTACGACTACGATCACCACCAATTCTACTACAACTACCACCTCCACAAATGATAGTACGACTACCACTACGAGTATCATTCCGACCAACTCTACTTTTACGAGTGATACAACAACTACTACTACTCGCACTGCAACTGCTAACACTACAACTACGATAACTACGATTTCTACCAATTCTACTACTCCGATTATTATTACCATTAACACTACAACAACGGCTAACAATTCTTCGTCTGCGGCTACCATTACGACAATTTCTTCCAGTACTGGTACTGCTGTTACGACTACAACAGAAACTGCTACTAAGAATATTATTCCGTCCAAACTCACTGCGACCACGACTACAATTACAACTGATTCTCATATCCCTACCACCATTAATATTTTTAGTACAACTGCTACTAAATCTACTCCAGCTACTGCAAGCCCTACTTCAACTGATTCTCTTTCTGATGACAGTTTCACAGCCACCACTCCTCTCTACCAAAGTGATGTAACTAAACCGAATACCACCTCTACAGCAAGTGGTGATATTAGTAATTCAACTACTGCAAGGACTGGTTATACTACTACTACTCCGACTTAGCCGTTGTTTGTAAAAGCATTATTGGTAGGTAATGTCTGATAACGTTTGAGCTTCTTCCCAAAATATGATCCATGCTTTTCCAATTTATTTGACGTTGACTGTCTTTAAAGCACTCGTCTTAAGCTAAAAAAGTAAAAAGCTGCTACTAATGGCCAATGTGTTGTTTTGATTTCGGATTTCGTTTTGCCATTCGGATCGTTAGTACTTGGTTTATTTATTCCTAATAATTTTTATGATCCATTTCAGCTCTTGTGAATAGTGAGAATGACTGTGAAGGAAGATAAACCCTGTACAAATGCTGGACAATGGTTCCAACACAAAGGCGGTCGGACTGAGGCTAGACAAGACCTGAGAAGACCAGGTTTTGCTGGTGCTGAGACAAACCATAAGGCCTTAGTGCCAAGACAGGACAGAAGATCCAGATGACAATACAGGGGGGCAGAAGTTCCTGATGACAAGACACAGCAGAAGATCCAAGTGCCAAGACAGAGCGGAAGATCTTGTGCCAAGAAAGATGCCAAAACATGGCCATTTATGAAGAGAAAAAAGACTCTTGAATTAAAAATCTAATGGTCCTGATATCCAAACTGAACAGAAGATCCTTATACCGAGGCTGACAAGAAGGTCCTGGTGCTAAAATAGGACAATTTATGAGGAGAAAAGACTCCGAAGATCAAGGCCTAATGGTCCTAATGTGTCAAAATGACCATCAATATTCGGTTTTTGTTTATTGTTGTTTCATGTAATAACTACGTATGTTTGTGGTTTTGGCTAATATTTTTATTAAAGCTTTTTGTTCTTCTGTGTCGAGTTTTTTTTTTTTAATGTTATAGAAAATAAGCTTGATTCCGTTTCATAAAATGAGATGAGATTAGGCCTATGCGATGTTTTCTAGAGCTAGCAAAAAACATAAATATGCCTAGATCTAGAATGATCATCATTTATTTTATTTTTTTTTTGAAAGATATAACCACATGGTATAAAGAAAAATGGGATAGAATAAAAAGGCACTGTAAGGCATAAACAGCGCGGGCAGAATAGGCAACTACCAACCTATTTCCCCCTGCACCCCACCCTCTTTCCCCCTCGCTTTTAGGGCGGATGGTTTTGGTCTTAATGTCTCGTGCGAAGTGGCCTTGAAAGTGCAAAAAGGTGGCGTTGAATTGACGTCATCGACGGTGACGTCACGGCTGTTGCTACGTCGACCCGTCATTGGCAGATCTGTTGACAAGTGGAAGGAGGATTTCGTTGAATTTGTTTTATTTTGGTCTGATAGTGAGAGATCTACAAAGCGAAAAAAATGCAGTGTGTAGCGTGGGTATTGATCTCAACAGTCTACTTTGTGTCACAGGTAGCTGCACAGCCCTGTCCTTATTCAGTTGTTTATAAAATTGCAAACACAACTGGCTTCATACTTTCATCGCCATATTATCCAGGTTACACGAGTTCATATTTAAAGTAAGTAGGATTAGAATTAGATTTGATTTAGACTATAATTACACTTAGGCCCAATGACAGAGCGCCGATGACATGTTTTTCCGGCAAAAGTCTCATCACTAGGTTAGAAATTCGATTTCGTAGAAGGGAGGATTTGAGTCTTCCTGATGTACAGCCACAGAAATAGGATGGTACAAGATATTTGATTGAGAAATGGGAAGGAGCATTAGATCTTTTATCATCAATTCTTGGTTTCTTTTTCTGCAGGAATGTTAACTGTAAATGGGGGATTCGGGCTCAGACTACAACCAATGCACTTGCCATGGAGTTTATTGATGCTAATATTGTAGATAGTGAAAATTGTTCTTCAGTTTTTGTAAAAGCATACGACGGTAAGTAAGCTTACCGTTAATTCATGGTTATTTAGAGAGATGGGCTGGGGGCCTGTGGACTTGGTTCAACCGGCCTCCTCTTTAATAGTAGAGTCATTGGTTACAACTTGTCATTGGAAATAACCAAGCCAAGTGGACCACAGGATCCTTGCGAATCTAAGTTTATCATTTCGTAAAATATTTTCTGTCCTTCTTCCAATTCCTTTGAAGTGTTCTGAAATTGACTTTGATTGGACAGAAAATGATTTTCATGTATTTTTTTTTTTCAGGTATTACTCCTTCCAGTCCTCATTTGAAGACAGTCTGTGGATCTGAGCTTCCGTCACGGATACAAAGTAGTGGCCTTTACATGTATGTCAATTTCAAAATAAATACTAACGACAGAGGCCAGGGATTTAGGGCCAGAGTTTTCGAGATAATCAAACCTACAACTACTGCCAAACCTACAACTACTACCAAACCTACAACTACTACCAAACCTACAACTACTACTCAATCCTCGAATACGAAGTCATCTTCTTCTGGTACTTCTGGAACATCTTCTGGTACTGCATCTGGAACTTCAGGTACATCATCTAGTGCATCCGATACCCCTTCGTCTTTAAGTGCTCCATCTTCTGGAACTACCACTACCACCACTATAACTACCACTAGTGCTGGTACTACCACCACCACCACTACGACTACAACTGCGTCTGACGGCTCCGCTTCTTGTAAGAAGTAATTCTGCTATCGGTAAGTTTAAATAGTACCAGGAGAAAGCAGTGGCGTTCCTTACACAACTTTTCATAATCCTGGTCGAAAGCATTTTAGTACTTGGATACATCCAGGATATATCCTAGGAACAGTGTTAGACGTTAAGAACCTGGGATATCCTAGAAACAGTGTTAGAAGTTAAGACCCTAGGATATGCTAAAAACAGTTTTAGAAGTTAAGACCCTGGGATATCCTAGAAACAGTTTTAGAAGTTAAGACCCTAGGATATGCTAAAAACAGTTTTAGAAGTTAAGACCCTAGGATGTGCTAAAAACAGTTTTAGAAGTTAAAACAAAATTCCATCTATTTTCATTCCATAGTGTTTCATGCTGTTTTTGAAGTAAGTTTATTGTTATTCCAAATTATTTACTAAAATGAAAAACCCTGGACTATCGCCCTTATTTTTTTTTCCTTTCAGCCCAAAAGAACAGAAAGTACTTGGTCTTATTCCAGAATGGGACTCCCAGCGGAGCTTTTAATACAAAAAAAGACTATAGCGAGACTTAATAATGATTGGGGGAAAAATTTAATTATGCTTTGAATGAAAAGATCCATGTTTTAATTTTGTTTTGTACTGAAAGTGACTCATATTTACATGGACTTTTTGACTTTTACTGATATCAGTTTTTTTATTTAAGAATATTAATTTTGCTTTACATTGTCGTTGTCTTTCTATGAATTAAAACGTATACAAAACTGAGGCTGGTTCAGCTCACCCCCTCCCAAATAACATTGACAATATGTGCCCCCTATTCAACCCCTCGACCCTCATGGTACATAATGCATAACGACATGCCACTGTAGCTAAATTATCGGAATGTTCTAAGCCTTGTTCAAACGCCAAAGTTGGACGTAACAGCTGTCAACTAATCAAATATTGCGGACCTGTTCACAACTGAGCGTGAGAGCATTTCACGTTGTTATTGTACTCTTTGTGTGTCTTTTTAATCGAAGCACAATTGCTGATGAAATGAAAGTCGCGGCGTTGGTTTTGATTAATCTGTGCAGGCTTCGAGATGTCCAAAGCAGATCCAGCCACAGCTACTAGTAGCCCATCACTGACGCTTGTCGTATGTTTGTAGGTCTTACTGTTCTGATGGATGTGAATTCCACTGGCCGCTTCTTTTCATCGGATTACTACCCTGGATACCCGAATACAACTACAATGTAAGTTATCATCTTTGGTTAAGTCGTCTTCATAATGTCAAGCCTTTATGACCTTCGTATAATACCTTGACTGTATTAAATGGCCAATATGCTTGTATCACGGAAGTTAGTGAATACACCGAGTTGATTGGATTGGATTAAGAGGTATCGACAGAAAGGCATAATGTTTACAGTCTTTGTGTTGAGGGTTCTGATTGGCTGGCATACTATCCAATCAAATATCTGCATTCTTTGATACAAGAGAAATAGTGGCTATTGCAGTCAAGGTCTTATAGGAAGTTCCCAAAGTTGTTCAAGGCTTTCAGCCGACGAGAGGGCACATGAATTACATAATTACACCAAAGAATTCTAAATATGTAATAATACATCAATGGGTATATCACACGTAATAAAGAAGCTCATAACGTTTCAACACGATTTCATTTAAAATTCTTTTTTCTTGTAGAAATTTAGATAATGCTTGGCAGTTTCATGCATTCGATCCAGGGAGCGGAGTACTGTTGGAATTCCATCAAACGTCCATTGAATACTCTGAGACGTGTAACACCAGTGCTGTGCGAGTCTATGATGGTAGGTCCCGCGACTCGTTGATGTTATATAACACACAGATCCCAAACTTTAATTGCTAGGAATTCCTATATTTTTATGTACTTCTGTATAAAATCACTAAAAGGGGGGGGAAAGATTTCTATATACATAAAAAAATACCTTTCAAATCATCTTAAAATGGTAAAATCTTTGCAACGTATTGCTTTTTTCATGGGGAGAACGCCAACCGTTTGGGTGACACAATTAGAATAAGCCCGTATACGCTTATCTCGCTAATATATCTCCATTGCACCCTGTATGGCGTCCATTTTTATCAGGAAAAGAATATGTTAACGTAAACTATTTTCTCTTTTACTAAATAGGCAGTGATTGTCATTCTCCTCTTCTGTTGAAATCTTGTGGACCAAATACGCCGTCGCCAATTACCTCCACTGGCAGTCATATGTATGTGGAATTTAATACTTTCACTGAGTTGCAGAACCAAGGAATTCTAGCTAGAGCCAGAGCGTTTCGGTTACCTACTGCCACTACTGTTCCGACTGCGACTACGACTTCGTCATCAACAAATGGAGATAATAATTACATTATAGGTACGTTCACGTACATTATGACAATCGGAGGGTCATTTTCCCATTGAGTAATTAAACTATTATCACATCGTATCGTATCCAATCTTCTCCCAGTTTGTATATTGTATTTTGTTTTACAGGTCACATTGTACTGTCCTTTGAAACCATTACTATCATCATTGGAGGAATTGCTGTTTTTTTACTATTGATAATGTGCATGATAGTCTGTTCTCACAAATTGTCTAACAAAAAGCTTGCAGCCAGAGTATCTCGTTTGGTCGCCGATCAACGACATTTTCAAGTTGGTAGGTATACTAGTAGAGTCTTTTATTACTTGCCCCCAAAAGTTATTTCCCTTGAGCATTGCCTTAAAGCCTTAAAAACATAATTTTATACAAGTTATTGCCACAAGAACTCCAAAACTCCAAGTATTGTCTTTTTTCCAGCTCCAATCCATGATGCAGCCAGCTATCCTGTTCTCCCCGATAAACCGGTTTCAAAATCACCAAGATCGCCCAGAAACGACGATGCATCTCCTGGAACTAGTTCCGGACGCAATTCAAAACACGTTAATGTAGACCACAGAACTGCAAAACCACAAGAACTTTCATCTCCAAATGCGGACAAAAGGCCTCCACGAATGCCGGCTACCAAACGTGCATTCCAAGGCCTAACATGATAGTTTCCACTTAAATGAAAAAAATATAAAATAAAAGAATATATATATCATCAAATAGTAGTTTTTGTATTTTTTTCTTTTGGCAAAGTTTGGCAAGTTGTGTTGGCTCTCTACAATGGCGTTTCTATAAAACATTAGGTGAGGGGTTGAATGGGCCAACAGGCAATACCTTCACTATGGAGGATGGGGGGAGGGGGGCAATTCCGTTCTAGTCTCTTTTCTGGCCGTCCTGTTGGAAAATAATGATAAAAAGGTAAATAAAGATGGAAAATGCGCGAATGTTTGTTATTCGTGTTGTTGATGAACTTTTTACAATATTGACGTCACCAAACATTAGGCAGTGTAGTTACCATCATTCACTTTCAAAATGGCCGACATGAATACGACGGACATTTCGAAAGAAGAAGATAATGAACGCTTTCAAAGTAAGAAGGATTTCAGTATTATTTTGTGCTAGAATATTTCTGTCCGCTATAGCTATAAATAGGTCCTAGCCTAGGAACCATATACTTCGTACTCAACGCTAAAAGAGCTCAGATCTACCGGTCGTTGTTTTGTTGGAAATGTTTTCGTGCCAACATGGAAACATGGAGGTACTTTAAACGAAAAAACACCGCATCTAGAGCATATGTTTGTCATGTATTAAAAATCTTAAACAGTACAGGACAGGCATCTCCTTCTCTGATACGACTCTCATTCATTGGTAGTGGTAGACCTACGACAACAAATTCAAAGAGGCTGCTTACCAGGTTGCTAGTGCCAGGCCTACGTTAACGAGCAAACGTTTTTAATGAATTTCTAAAGCGTCCTTTCTTCCTCTGTCATGGGGCCTACTCATAGCTCATACGAAACCTCGACCCTAAACGGAATAAAGCTAGGAGCTAGTCTAAAAAAATTTCTCCTTTCCATTACAGTAATGGATGTGCTTACATACATCGGACTACTCGTTTGTGGTGTGGCAATATTTTTCACCATGAAATGGCGCATGAAGAAGCGACAGCAAGAACGAGCTCAACAAGGTTTACATTCGTCTATTTTGTCAAATCGGTCATGGAAGAAATTCTATTTGGTTTACTCAAATCAAAAGCAGACTAGTAGGATTTTCACTGAGTCATTTCATTGTTTTCTTGCAAAATTGGACGATGCCATAAAAATACTTGGAAGTCGCTTTGAGTACTTTGACGGATGTCGCCAGCAATGCAGGATATACTCGTCTCCTGATTCATCTGATGCCTTTCTGCGCTCAGATTTGGTATCGCTGTCAAACTGAGAGTCTATTTTATATTTCAGGCCATGGGAACCAGGCTCAAAATACTCAGCAGGCTTCTTCAGGACCTACCGGTTTCTTTCAGAGGATATTTTTTGGCACGGCACCTCCTCCAGTCCGACCACAGACAAACCAGGTGGCTACCAACATCCCTCCACCATCAACGGACCCATTCAGTCGTCCTTTTCCGGGATATAGTCAGCAACAGACAACCCAGTTTTCGCAACCGACGACGGGTCCTTTCGTTCGTCCGCCTCCTCCCCCGTATCCCGGAGTGGGGTATACCTCTGGATATGGTATGTGATTGGCCATCTCCATGCGTCCAAATGAAATTAAAGAAACAATCAATGACTAATTGAAAGACAATATTGCTTCTCTGTCAAAGATTTACCGTTCGTTGTTCGTTTGACCAAAGGCCAATGGAATTGTATTTTATCATTGAGAGTCATATTCACTTTAGATACACGGACACTTGTGTTTCCTTACGACAAAATGGATGCTAAGGGTAGTCAAAGACTCCTAAGAACAGACTAATATAAATATTACAAGGAATACAAAAATGATTTTTATTAAGTATATTTTAGCACATATTCATTGTTATATAATAAATAGAAACAAAATTATTTACAAGAAGCACTTAATAGCCTAGAATAACTTACGCAAAGTCTCATTAAAATAGTGTTACAAACAAATCCTGCATAAAATAATTGACACAAATAGCACAAAAATGGTTAAAATTTAATGAAAATGTTAGCACAATAAAAAGTTAATAGCATTAATAAATAAATAAATAAATAAATCACAATAGTCAACAATAAACGATATAACAAATTGTCCCACTTAGACAAGTTCACTGATGTCCTGATTCTAAGGGTTTTACTGGAACCACTGAACAGATTGATAAGCACTCGAGTTGGTCTTACTGGCATCGAACGCGTACACTTGATTAGAATCCACTTGCGAGAAATTGTATTGTGGGATGTGGGAAAAGCTGTATGGTTGGTAAGAAACGCTGGAGGCGTTCGATGGCGTGGTCATGTGTGGAATGACACTCAAATCCAGCGGTTGATCGTCTGCAACATAAGCAGGAAAGACAGGTAACTCTTCGGACTCCTCGTGACCAGAATCGTTCGATTGATAACTTGAGGTGTTCAGATCGACTTGTGAGCCACAAGCTTCGAACACCTTGGATTCAACAGGTGATGAGTGGTACTGCTGGATAATGCCGTTGCGAATGGATTCAAGATCAGCACTGGAGAGTTCGATTCCACTGTCCTTACCAATCGAAGAGTCGCTGGAACTATACGCTGGAGACCATCTTGGTGTGATACAGGCAGACTGTGGACTAGGACTTTGTGCACAAGAACCATTTGGAGCTGGGCTAGCAGCATTGTAGGTATTGACAGGTGGCTCGTATAAGATTTCTTGATCACATGACACTTTACCATAATGAGATACTGGCGAAGCATCGGACGGAACTTGAGCATGGTAAGCAGGAACCGGGGTTTGTTCCAGGACTGGTTTATAATGGCTGTAGACTGGTGTAGAGCTGTTGTAGATCACAGGCGTGGAACTTGAATAGAAAGCACCATTGGGTTGACAGACGACGTTCGGTGGTGGCGTAGAACTCTGTGAAGGTGTGGGTTGGTTGACGACCGGTGACTGTTGGTGGACAGGGGTCATAGGGGTTGAGCACTGTGGTAGTTGATTCTGAATGTTGGTCACTGGAAGGTTACAGATCTGCTGATCACAAAGCTTTGACGGTGATGGACAAACCAGTAAGCAGGCCTTGAAGAACTCGATCTTGGTCTCTAAAACGATGGCAACTTGATCCCAAAAGTTCCCAGCGTTGGTATGATAGTAACCCCATCGCAATGTATTGGTACCGCTATCCCTGTCAACGTTAGGTCGGTAGTCACCACGGGCAAAGTTTATGATGCTACAAGGATCGATTGACCATAGGAAGCAGCTTCTACTGGAACCACCGGAACCTCGGCCGAGACTGATCTTGGTGAAGCACTTGGTCTTGGATAAGCTGTGACGGATGGCATTTTTCCAATGTTGGCGAGCATTGTTACGAAAAAACGCAAACCTATTCTGGACGTACTTGTATATTTCACCAATGGGAAGACAAAAGTTGGGAGATCGGAGCACAGCTAGATATACTAGTTCCGTGTAGGAATAATTGGGCTTGAAGGCCGGGTCGTCTGTAGGGTCCAATTTCTCATAAATATTCACAAAGTTCGTCATCACATTATGCAAGTCAATATCGGCTGGCGTTGGTTCTTGGTTGGTGGGCGTGGCTTGTGGATGAGTGACGTGACTTGGGACGGCCTCAGCTTCAAATCTACCAAACTTACTATCTTCTGGCCGTTCAAAAGCATCGATAAGTTTCCGCTTCATATTGGCAAACAAAGTTATATCCACACTAAGAAATAAAGACCGTTACACACAGGATGAAGTACAGTTATATCCAATAGCACTGAAAAGACGCAGTTATATTTGAAAGCTGTAATCACACTACTCAAACTGAGAGCTGAATGATTTGTCCAACATTTTTTCACGATTTATACTAAAGACCGTTTAAAATTCTTACATGATTCGATTCACTCAGAAGATGTCACCGAACGACTGTCTTCTTAATCAACCAATAAGAACGCTTCGTTTACTGGATTATCATCACGTGACATTATTGGCGGGAGTTCATATTATCGTTCGAACTTGAACGTGACACTTTTTGATTGACAGTGAGATGAGTTTGAATTAATCCCTTTGTTAATTAGATTAACACTATTGTTTAATCAATCGGTTTGCGATTAGTAATCAAGGATTGAATTGTCGACTGCCATATAGTGATTAGATTTTGAATCTTTGAGAATTTCTAAAATTTAAACATCGATATATCGGAATCTCCATCACTAAGACTTTTTTCATTGACATTTTTCGTTCCAAATTTGAATATTAACGTAAAAGTCAATTAAATACATGCATTTCATTTTTTATATTCCCAATTTTTGTAATATCCTTCATATATATAGCGTTCATTTTTCCTTGCTGAGCTATTACGTCGAGCTTGATTGACGATTTGTAGTCAAAAGGGTATGCACATGTATATCGAATAGAAATTATCATATTTAGATGTGCAGACTCTCGGATAGGGATACCTAGTTATCAAACACCACTGCACAATGATGATAGCTCTCACCCAATATCAAAACACAATTTCAATTCATCTTCTAAACGAATTGATAAAGGCTTCGAATGGCTGGTAATGTTTTAATTTGCGAATTTATTGGTTTCGGAGATTCTGGGATGAGAGCGGAGACATGTGACATTTCTTTTTCACAGTCGCCATTTCTGAGTGCTGATTTCAAAATATGGACCCATATATTCTCTCTGTCCCGAGTTATTTTCATTTTATTTCCTTGATTCTCGAGACTATGCTTTTAATTGTAATGACCGTCGTATTTTCACAAGAAGCAAATATCCTATTCATGTTTTCCAAGGGAGACGAATCTTCGCTTGTTGTATTGAGTCAGACAACTGTAATTCCGCGCTAACGGTACATAGATCTGTTCAGGGGGTTGTATCGCTCTTTGTCCTCTACAGCTTTGCCGTACCCCACATAACAACTATCCTGTAGCTTCGTTCATCTTGGTGACTAGGAACATTAGTTACCAATATTTTCAAATTACCAAGTGTTAAATTAAAATCTGTTTTTGGATTTCCAATTAAAACTTAAGCCTTGTATCTTTCAATAAGACCAAACTCAGTTCAACTTTTAGTGCGATGGACGTTCTGTCACGTTCACACATCAAGTCAAAGCTACGTCATTTCCTGTTAACGGAAGTGAAAGAGAAAGAGCGCTTCCGGTTTCAGCAATGCAGTCCGACGATTAATTGGCCATCTTGAATACAGTGGCAATAACAGTTTTAATCTACTTTCCCTGCGTTTTATGGCAGCATTAACCATCGAGGTGAATCTGTTTAAACGATAATGGCTCGATTTCCATTGGGTTTTATGGGAAGTTTATAATGCAACCCAGTAAGCTTCCACACAATAGTTATTGCTTCTGATAGTATTTATAGCGTTTCCATGACTTGGATTTAAAAAAAACATCTTTTAATTACACAGCTGCCTGGTCCATATGTCCAAGTGCACGAAGTCATCCGATGCTTGTTCACTCTTGATACCCACGTCTGTCGGGGGATATTTGTTCGCCAGTTAATAACTTGCAAACGCGGATAATTCTGGACACACATGGATTTGAAAGCTTAAATTTCGACGGTGATGTGTGAACGCTATTACTTATTGGCTTAGCTAAAATAAATCTCGTTTCTAAGCCCAAATATGATTGGTAAAAAAATGGCGTACCTATTCCTTTGACCTTTATTCCTTGCACTGTGTTTTACCACGAATCTTTACTTTGTGACCTAGGCCAGTGTTCTCATTACCATCGAATACAAAATACTTGCCAGTCAAATATCAAGTGTGGTTTTGTAACACCTCCATTTCAGTAGATTGATTCAACAAACATTCCAAGCCACTCGTTTTTAACTCCTTTTCATTGATTTCCTCTACTTTCCCTTTCTCAATTCAATCATAAATTCAATTTCTTCATTCAATCTTTGAATTGAGTGATAATAAAATTGAAGTGGTAATGGACTTTGACGGCTTAATTTAAAGAGATCCAGGCCACGTATTCTCAAAACTATCTTAGCGGTATGGTATCCTAGAAACAGTGTTAGACGTTAAGAACCTAGGATATCCTAGAAACAGTGTTAGACGTTAAGACCCCAGGACATCCTAGAAACAGTGTTAGAGGTTAAGAACCTAGGATATCCCCAGAAACAGTGTTAGACGTTAAGACCCCAGGACATCCTAGAAACAGTGTTAGAAGTTAAGAACCCAGGATATCCCCAGAAACAGTGTTAGACGTTAAGACCCTAGGATATTCTAGAAACAGTGTTAGAAGTTAAGATCCTAGAACATCGTGGCGCTAAGATCGTTCCGATAATACGCGGCCTGTACATGTTTCAGCGGAGCTGTTGTTTTGTTACCCAATGTTCAGTGGCCTTTTTTTGAATCATTAGCTAGGGACCGAGTAGGGGTCACAGAATTGTCACGTGGACGAGGCTCATTCCTATTCCTACAAAAAATGTTTCATGGGACTTTCCTACAATTTAGCTGCAGTGGTGTTTCTAGGTGAAGGGCCAAGTAGGGGTCACAGGGGGCTTACAGACCAATCCTCTTTCTTTGTACCAGACAACCCATTTCAGACAGTTTCACCAGTCACTTGATAATGAACAATCTTAAGTAGAGAAGACTGTAAACCGGAAGTGGATGTTAAAAGCATTTAGGAATTTCAGCGGTTACAACTTCCGGTGTTGAAATGTTTTGACAGCTAATTTTTCTACTTTTCTTTGTCAAATATTCATTTCTTGTGTTTGATATTCAAATATGGTTCACGGCGAGGCAAGGCAAGATATAAGAGCGTGAGAGCTTCTTTAGATGATGTTGGTTGGTCCCCACCAACTTTATCAGTGGCTCTGCGCCCCATAATCGGAGGTGAGATAAGAGCGTAAGAGCTTCATTAGGTGAGGAGATACGATATGGCTGGTTCCCACCATCTTTATCAGTGGCTCTGCGCCCTTGATCGGAGGCAAGATAAGAGCGTAAGAGCCAACAAATTCAGATTAATGCCTTTGTCAGTGTTAAAGTAAAAAATGCTGTTGATCTGGTTGAAAATCGATAGTTAGAGAATTAAATATCACTTATCGCCTTTAAATCTCTATTATTCAAATATCATAACTGATAGATATTCCTTTTTATATTAAAATACAGTGTGACGTATTGACATATTACCTTGGTGAGATATTAAACGAGATTACTCATATTGTTTATCGAGCTTCAAACTGATAAATCATATTTTTTCCAAAATTCAAATTTGACGTATTAGACACTTGCTATTTTTTCCAGTAAGATATTAAACGAGTTAACTCATATTGTTTATCGAGCCTTCAAACTGGTAAATCAGTAAGATATTAAACGAGTTTAATTATATCATTTGTCGAGCATGTAGGTACTGCTCTATACCGACACTTGATTTCAATAATTTTATTGAAGTTTTACGCCCTTTTTCTGCATTGTATGAGCCAATTTCTCGTGTACAGTGTAATTCCTTTAAAAACCAAAGACAAATACTGATATATGGGTGAGGAAATCTGCAATAAAATCTGCTTTGTTAAATTTAATTCTCTTGAAATTTCACGATTTCCTTTATGTCTGAAGGTTCCATTAAAAAGCTTATTTGTGGAAGCATAAAGAGGAATTGCGAACAGATCAAAGACACATGTTAAAAGCTTTATTCTTAAACCAAACGAGTGACTTATAACAAAACTAATCCGTTAAAGAATAACTCTCGTCTAAAAACATACTTTATCAACTTGTAAAGCTCAGTTGTAGTTGTCCTTAACACTTTTCAGGATAGAAATTTGACGATTGGTTCGTCTGTAATTGAAATAAGTTATCTATTGAGGTGATAATTGTTATTATTGAAATTTGGCTAAGTTTTATTTTGATGAACGTATCCCTTTAATGCTAAAACATAAGAACTCAGAAGAATTGCAGACATTTTAGTTTGTAAATGGAACGAAGAAAGTGCATTTATACATTGCAAAGTTACACAAGAGAATTAAAAAATTTTCAAGAAAAAAACAACGCGTGCTGTGACGTCATTTGATATAACAGACAACTTTTTGCGAAGAAGAATAAGTGCAGACGACAATCGCGCGGGAAGCCTTGTCGATGCTATTCAAGCCGTCATAAATACATATATCAAATCTTCGGCCTGAGGCAAGATTCCAGTCTAAGCGTTCAATTGTTCGGAATCGCACCGGCAATTGATTGCAGACGAGAGATGTTGATTTAGAATAGACGGAGGTGGCAGACGAATCAAAGGATTAAACCGAGTAGAAATGATTGGAATTATTTTAAGAACTCGACCGATAATGGAACCCATTTAAGTGTTGTTTGATTTTACATCATAGAGCTTCGCAGAATACGATTGCTTTGATTTTTAATGAGTTGAAACCAAAGTAAGTTGAAATTTTATTTTCTATGATCTCGAAACTGGTAGAAGTATATATAACGCAATATTTTGCGTATCATGTACGGCATTTGCCAAAAAATTGGACGATAGTGAACTTGTATTAGTATTGTCATCCTTTTTGAAGGATGAACTTTGCTTT